GATAGAGAGAGAAATGGAACGGCTGGACGGCTAGGCGAGGCGATGGATCCGCGCCGGAACAGTGACGGCGGCGGCGGAGCTCCTCCAGCTCAAGGCCTCTCACGGCACAGAGAGAGAGAGAGAGAGAGAGAGAGAGAGAGAGAGAGAGAGAAATGGAGAAAAGGGGCTTCCGTGCCAGGGTGGGACACGGCGGCGGACCGCAGACGGAGGCGGCGACGGCGACGCAGGGGCCGCCGGCGAGCCTGCGGGCGCGTCGCGAGCTCGCTGCCGGGTAACGGCCACAACGGCTCTTGGCTGAGGCGTCAGCGACTCGCGCAGCGCGGCGAGCTGGCCGCGCGCGCGGCAACACGGCGTCGGGCGGAGGCATGAGGGCGTTCGAGCGGTGGTCGGTGAGCTGGGCAGAGGCGAAGCAGCAGTCGAGGGTCGGGGGAGAGAGGAAGAAGAAGAAGAAGAAGAAGAAGAAGAAGAAAGAGAAAGAAGATAGAGAGGAGAGAGAGTGTCAGAGAGGGGGGGTTGCGTGCGGTCAGAAGGAAAAGAAGAGAAAGGAGAGAGAGGGAACGTGCGCGGTCAGAAGGAGGGAAACGTGCGCGCGGAGGAGAGAGGAGAGAGAAATAAGAGAAAATAAACTTCATTCAAATATTAAATGCGATCTGATGGCCCAAATTCAAAACCGAAAACGATCTACCGGTCCAAAATAAGCCTCGCACATAAAAAGGGACAAAGGCCAAATTAATTGAACCAAACTATAACGAGGGAGGTCTACTAGTCCAGATTCGCACGTGGTCAAAAACTCCCCTTTTTCCATCATTCCTGACAATCTCAACGCTGGCCACAACAATATCGACACCGTCTAATTTATTTCGTCCCGAAACTTCCGAAAATCGACTGCCAAGTTCGGGGTCTAAATAACGGTCAAATTCGATCGAGTGCGATTCTAGCGAAATCTCTAATTTAAAAATAATAACCGAGAGTGATCAGTTCTCGGGCGAGATTTTACTATAAGCACACTGACAAATTACACGTTTTATAAATCCCAAAAATGGGCCGAAATTCGGAATGTCACATGCTGATAATGATCCGGTAGATCCAATTGTTCAACAATTACCAGAAGCTGTTGAACAACCAGTTGAACACCACGCTCCTCTAGAGAATGTTGATACAACATTAAGAAGATCTACTAGAATGAGGAAATCAGCAATTCCTAGTGATTATATTGTGTATTTACAAGAGTCTGACTATAATATTGGAGCTGAGAATGATCCTGAAACGTTTTCACAAGCCATGAGTAGTGATGAATCCAATTTGTGGTACAATGCCATGAAGGATGAGATGAGTTCTATGGCATCAAACGAAGTCTGGGATTTGGTTGAGTTGCCTAATGGTGCGAAGGCCATTGGTTGTAAGTGGGTCTTCAAAACTAAGAAGGACTCATTAGGCAACATTGAGAGATATAAAACTAGACTTGTTGCCAAAGAATTCACTCAAAAGGAAGGTATCGATTACACGGAGACATTTTCTCCTATATCTAAGAAAGATTCTCTTCGTATTATTTTGGCATTGGTTGCCCATTTTGATATGGAATTACATCAAATGGATGTGAAAACGGCATTCCTCATTGGGGAACTAGAGGAAGAGGTTTACATGAAACAACCTGAAGGATTCTCCTCTAGTAAAGGTGAGCATTTGGTGTGCAAGCTTAAGAAATCTATATATGGCTTGAAACAAGCATCCCGCCAATGGTACTTAAGGTTCCATGATGTCATCTCTTCATTCGGCTTTGTAGAGAATATCATGGATCAATGCGTATACCAGAAGGTCAGTGGGAGCAAAATTTGTTTTCTTGTGCTGTATGTGGAGGATATTCTACTTGCAACCAATGATAAGGGGTTGTTGCATGAGGTGAAACAATTCCTCTCTAAGAGTTTTGGCATGAAGGATATGGGTGAGGCATCTTATGTCATTGGCATTAAGATCCATAGAGATAGAACTCGAGGAATTTTAGGACTATCTCAAGAAACCTATATCAATAAGGTCTTGGAGAGATTTCGGATGAAAGATTGTTCACCAAGTGTAGCGCCCATTGTGAAGGGTGATAGGTTCAATTTGAACCAGTGCCCGAAGAACGATCTAGAAAGGGAACAAATGAAGAACATCCCATATGCTTCTGCTGTCGGAAGCTTGATGTATGCTAAGGTTTGCACTCGACCTGACATCGCTTTTGCTGTGGGAATGTTGGGAAGATATCAGAGTAATCCAGGGATAGACCACTGGAAAGCTGCAAAGAAAGTGATGAGATACCTTCAAGGTACTAAAGGATACATGCTTATGTATAGACGGACTGACAACTTGGAAGTATTTGGTTATTCGGATGCGGATTACGCTGGTTGCGTTGATTCTCTAAAATCAACATCAGGATACATTTTTATGTTAGCTGGCGGAGCCGTGTCATGGAGGAGTGCGAAGCAGACTTTGACTGCTACTTCCACTATGGAGGCTGAGTTCGTTTCTTGTTTTGAGGCTACCTCGCATGGTGTATGGTTGAAGAGTTTCATTTCAGGGCTTAGAATTGTTGATTCTATTTCTAGGCCATTAAGAATATATTGTGACAATTCAGCTACGGTTTTTACGGCTAAAAATGCTAGAAGTGGCAGTTGAAGTAAGCACATCGACATTAAGTATTTAGCCATAAAGGAACGTGTTAAGGAGAATAAAGTGGTCATTGAACACGTTCGCACTGAATTGATGATAGCTGATCCTTTAACTAAAGGCATGCCACCAATGAAGTATAAGGATCATGTGGCTAGTATGGGAATAATTCCCATAATGTGATTTATTGTCGTACGGACGACTTTTGTTGTTTGAAACTCTTACTCAATTGTAATGTTATTCTCAATTTCTGGTGTACACATTCAGTTGTTTATGAGAATAACAATTATCCTTGGTTCTGGAATAAACATAGGGTTTATTCATTAAGATGTGTTGTCACATATGGGCTGACATTAAAGGAATAAGATGCATTGTAATACATGGAAGATATTACTCGCTCTTAGAGGACATGTCGCCATGATTCATGTGTCTTGTTTCTTTTCTTAAGCATAAGGTTTTCGTGGATTTGGTTGGGTAATCCGTATGATGAAAATGTTGGGATCAAGTGGGAGAATGTTATATTTATAATGTGATCTCACATTTAGGGATATAGTTTTTGAAATAAAAACTAATCCGTTGAGTTTGACCCACGTTTTCTCTTTTAAGTGACGGTTATCCACATACGGTTTTTCCACTGTTCGTACCCCTTCGGTGACAACCGCCCCCTTCGGTAACCGCCTTGATGGGAAGCGGTTTATAAAGATGAACGTTCATTCTATAAGGGTAGATACAAGGTCTAACGCAAACCCTCTCATTCAGTAATACACCATCAGTACGCGAGGGGATTGGGTTAGTAGAGTGCGCCCGTAATCGCTCTCAAATTAACGTCGAACTACCGTGGATTTCCGACGAACGTAAAGTTGAACAATGGCTGGAGGTTAGTTTATTTTCGATCCTGTTTTCCGCATTTGATTCTAATTGTGCTTAAATTTTGTTCTTCTATGCATGATTAGAATCCTTCAGTTTTAGTCTTACAGTGTGTTGCCACCATCGCTGGCCCTTGCTCGATCGGCCACAGACACCATTGTCGTGCGAGGCCGACAGCCTTCACTGCTGTGATTGGTCTCTCTGTTTCTGTTTCTCTCACCTGCGCACATGGAGTTCAAGGTTGCCATTCGTGGCCATGGAGGTTGCCACCACCATCTTGAAGCTTGAAAAGAGAGAACCAAATACAGGGGCACTCGGTTTGGCTCGACGGAGATGACAACGATAGTTGCCGATGGTCGAGCTAGGTCAACAGGGGTGGTAGCACGCTGCTGAAGATCCAGGCAACAGTGTGGGCAGTGACGGACAAGCATGAGATGAGCTTTGGCTGAGCGGGCGAGAGCTTGAAGATTACGAACAGTAAGAGGAGGAGCTCATGTGTGAAAAAGAAGAAAAGAAAAGAAAATAACCAAGAAAAATCAAAAGAAAAACCGCATCATTTCGCTGAAAATAGTCTACGTCACGCCGTTTCTGCTACACGTAGAACGGCCGGCGATGACAGCGTTACCACATCAGATAAATCAGGTGAGACTTGGTCGAGAGGACGTGATTGTGTTTTCCCTTAAAAATTTAAGACTACATTTGTTTAATTAAAAAATTGATAACTCGATTAGTTTTCATACGATATGTTCAAAACTAATTATGCAATTACCCTTTAAAGAGAAGGATGAAGATCTTGTTGAGTAGAAGTTTCATATAGTGTAATGTCATTAGGGAATCTTCTATGCTTGTGGTAAAGCAAGTACACATAAGATGAGAAGACCTTAATATACAAAAGTTACATTTGCATCTAAGAACAATTACTTATAATTTGCGATCGATGGCAGACCGTAGCTATACTGATGCAAAGAAGCTGTAAAGTACAAAAAGTAATGAAATTATGACAAACTGATTGACCATTTTTTTAGGGTTAATATCACGAATAACCCCAAACTGATACACATGTGACAATTTTACCCTAAACTAATTTTTTGACCACCAAAAACCCCAAACTGATGCGCTTGTGATAAATTTACCTTCAGTTTATTTATATTGAATTTTATTATCAAATTGCTTTGTTAAATGACACGCAACAGTTAACTGATGTACCAGTTTATGTTTTACACTCCATTTGTCACAAGCGTACCAGTTTGTGATTTTTTGTGGTATAAATTCAATTTAACGGAAACTAACGGAGGGTAAATTTATCACGCATGTACCAGTTTGGGGTTTTTAGTGGTCAAAATTTTAGTTTGGGGTAAATTTATCACAGATGTACCAATTTGGGGTTTTTTGTTGTCAAAAAAATAATTTGGGATAAAATTATCACAGGTGTACCAGTTTGGGGTTTTTCGTAGTATTAACCCTTTTATGAGCAGATGACAAATTCATTGACTTTACACAATAATGCACGTATATAAATAATGTACAAATGGGACCAATGAAGAAACCTGACCGACTGAAAATGACCAAGAATCACCACCATATCTAGATCCTGACCTCCGATACAAACAAAACATGTACCATTTACTAATTGACAAAAGAAAATGCACCCAGTTCCTCGCATTTTGTTAGTGATCATTGGTTGATGAAAGCCTTGATCTGCGAGATCATCTCCTGAGTTCTTGAGCGAGCCATCTGGGACTTGTTCAGGACTTGGAATGCATGTCCCACTCCTCTGTACATGACCATTTCCACTGCCTTACCCATGTTGGCCAAGGCATTACATAGCTGCAAGTTCCGGTCCTTCAAGATGTCAAGCTCTGATATGCACACCATCGCCGATGGGATGCTGAGATCGACACTATTCGACAAAGGATTGCACCAGGGATGGTCCCTATTTGCCCCTGAAGGAAGTGACAGCCTCCAATAGGCGTCCGAAGCAGATAGCGTCAGCGCAGAATTGGATGGCTGAGAGGCCATCTTTTCAGACCCAGTCCGGATCTCTCCTCCGAAGAAAGGTTGTATCAAAATAACCCCCTTCAGGTGCAATGGTTTGATAGCGTTGGACACAGAAGCGCTGATGTTTCCTAATCGAACAGCTACGTTAAAGGCTATATTAGCACCGGCGCTGTCGCCAACTAGGAAAAAGTTGGATAAATTGCACTGGCTCACCCACCATTTTTGCATGTCGGATCCATCGGCAACTTGCCTTTTAACCCACATGATCGCATTGACTCCGTCGTCGTAAGCAGCCGGGAGACGGTTCTCAGGGGCTAGGCGGTAGTTGACCGATACGATCACGCAGCTTGCAGTGGAAACCAGATTGGCCAGGAACTCATGGTAGCAGCTCCACGCAGCTGATCCGACACAGAATCCCCCTCCGTGGAAGTAAACGAGCAAGGGGTATTTGCCGGGCCGGTTTGGAACATAGACACGCACCCACAAGTTGGTGAACTTGTCGATTGTGACGTCTCTGGCATGCGTGTCGACTCCTGAGGAGATTGCGCAGGAGACGCTAGGGATGACGGGGAACCTCTCGACCCGCCCATCCTTGTGAACCCTGAGTAGGCCTTCAATCTCTTCAAGCACCAACGATTGTTGTTGCTGATGGTTTTTGCCCAGTTGGAGGTTGAGCCTGGCATCAAAAGATAGAGAAGCCATTCTTTTTCTTCTAAATAGTGAGAAGATGGACTTAATGGTTTGGATGGATTATTTGCCAATGTAGGGTTCTTTATATACAAAAGAAGTTTTGGATAAGACCCTAGAGAGATCTTTGAATGCGGAAGAAAAGTTTCCAATCTCTATATCAGGCAAGTGGGTGGAGTAGAACCTCCCCCTATGTCATCACATGGATTCCTGTGAGAGGTGGGAAGCCACACTTTTCAAACCCTTATTTTTTTCTTTATTAAATGTGGAGGATTCTGTAGATTGCAAAGAACGCTCGATCATAACAGTTCGCCTAGATTTTACTGTACCTCTTCTTAGCCAGAGATGCGAAGTTTGCTCGAATTCATGCATGCCATTTCCACAGGTGTCACACACGGTGGTTGACTTAAGACTGTTATGGGTGGAATTTGAGTCAGAAATATATATTCCGCAATCTCAACATTCAACCCCAAAATGAAGATTGGACTCTCCTATCCTTGCAACTATACTCCTCCTTTTCATTTTCTGGCTAAACCTTTGCTTTTAGGTTCAGACACAAAGGTTTCAGATCCTCCTAGATGCTGCTTGCATGTAGCACATTTAGATGCTGCTGTTAGTAATATACGATCTATAAAATATTTGTCGGCCTGAAAATTGTTTGAGACTTTTGGTGCTCTTCCACAGTGATCTAGATTGACCGGGTACGAAGCATCCAATCCCCAAGATGCTCCAAAAATCATCTTGCTAACGATAATGAAGAATTTGACGTCGCATGTCACGGCTGCATGAATACGATTCCCCACCAACACGTAGAGGTCATGATCGGAGATGATAAACATGGTTCGTTCGGCGACTTTTTATCGGTATCGCTCTTTAGGTTTGGAATAACAGATCCATCTAAAGAGAGGGCCATAATGTGGAACTGAATATCGAGATCTTGTTCCTTGTACTTGCCTTAAGAATCTTGACCTCATGTCCTCCTCCTCAAATCTCTCAATCTATTTCAAGTCTGAACTGGTTTCCTGGTGAATTGAAGTTCCAAATCCCGGGTTCAATTAAATGGGTAAGGAAGGCACTGTCAAAAGCATGATCCACAGAATATTTTCTCGATAGTCCACCTTCTTGGGGAGCTTTCAAACGGAAGTTTTTATCACAATGCGGCAATGGTGGACAGTTCTCCATTGATCCTGACATAATATTCTTTTGACACTTTCCTGACATTTTATTCTTTGAGGCGGCATCAATGTTTGTCCAGTTATGTTGGGTTCAGACACGGGTGTTGCGGCACCAACCGCCACATTCTAAGGAAGAAAGTAGACGAAAATGGGAGTCGGATTGAATGAGCTTTTAAGTGAATGCGGGTCCAATTGGATATATTGACAGGCTCGGATTTGGACTCTCTCTTTGTGATCTCCTTAGGTGAAAGTAATAGACTTCTGTTGCGTCGACCAAATAAATGGTCTCAAAACCGATGATAGATTGGTGGGCCCCCAATATAAATATGTGTTTGGTGAAAATTAAAAAAAAAATCTTAAATATGACTCTTTAATCGAGATGGCGAATCGTTTCTCTGAGTTTACGATCAAACTTGGCTGGGCCAAGGCAATTGAGGTGGAGTCCAAAAGGCAGATTTTATTCCTCTCTCTAACATCTGCTAAGCTTACTAAGCCAAGGTAGAGATTCAAGTTGAGATAATGTTGATGCAAAAGAAATACTTGAATTAAAAGGGAGCGGGCATAACAAAAAATGCTCACATGTGAGGGGAGGATTTATTAAGGTGTGTGTGTATCCAACTAAATATGTTGATGGGTTTGAACTTAAGATCTCTTCTGATGATCTCCTCATATGAAAGTATTAGGCTTCTACTACATCGACCCAACAAGCAAATCACTCTTAAATTCTTAGATCCACTGTCACTCAAAAGTTTCAACTAGTGAATTAAGCGCCAGTAAGGATACATTTTGTTTCATACTACACACCACATGCATGATGTGAGACGTCTTTCGCCTAACACCCCATATGTGCACCTCACCACTTAGCCACTGCAATATCACGGCAAGATTTTATTCCATATTCTATGTCGGTTACAAACGCATAATTTTGGACGCGAAACCATGCTAAATTGAGTCATCGAGATACCTCAAAAGAAAATTCACGTTCAAAAATTCCCATTGCGGGATCAGATGGACTGCCTTGACGGCAAAAGCTAAAGATTCTTTGTCATCCCTTTTTTCAGTGTCTCAAAAACGTAAGTCTTTTCAAAAACCAATGGATTTAATTGCCAACTGCGGCTGTCATCTTTATTCCCATTAGATATTATATTCTCCTTCTTCTTTCTTCTCCATCTTTTTGACCATGCATAAATCATGCGTGACCCCGTGATGTACAGAGCTCAGCATACTCATCACTTCCCCTTGAGAATAAATGAATAGCCAAATGGCATATCTCTTCCTTTTGGTCAATGAAGCTTTTACTTTTCATTGTTTTCACTTGTTGCCCCTAGGTTGATGGTAAGGGGATGGTTAAGGTCTTTGATTAATGCAAATAAAAGTCATCAGCTTCATTCTGGTTCTCGAAGAAAGAATAAGTTTGGAACTTAATTTGGCCAAACCCCCTTAAGAGTTGCTTTTGAACTTTTCTGAGTGGCATATGCATTAGGTTTAGTAGCAACGACCGGTTCAAATAAAGAGGCTTACAATTATACAAAGAAATAACTCTGCGTTATCTTGCCAAAAGAAGTGGTATATTTTGTCTTAAAAGTATATTCCGCAAGAAGAATTACAATTCAGTCTTAAACCTATTATACCGGAACAAGTTGATAGGATCCCCTTTTTGACGTCATGCCCCTCCCGTGTGGCAACATGGGGATGAAAAAGGGAAAGCGGGGGATGGGCTTTCTAATGCTTTTGACATAGCAGGCCCTGCAGGAGGCTCGCACAACAGGCTATTAACTCAGTGGTAGAGCGCACTCTTGATAATTGCATCGTTGTTGACACTTAAATTTTGCCCAATCATTTAGGGTTTTATCGTATAAAAAATTTAGGGTTTAATTTTTAAACCACTAAACAAAAAATATTTTCATTAAATTATATGGCATATAGACATTAGGCACATTTGCATTAATAGGGCCTACTAGGACACAAAATTAAAAAAAAAAAAGATTTTCGGGCCGAGTTCGTCAGCCCATTCTTTTTTCCTCTTCTTTTTATTTTTACGCGGCCCATTTTTATCTTCTCCTCCCGTTTCATTTTCCCACGCGGGCCGGCCCGTGTCTGTTCATCTCCCCCCTCCCCAGTCAACGTTTCAGAAGGTACGGGGGAGGAACAGTGCAGAAGAACAGAGAAGCCAGAGGGGTGCGGGGCACACCGGCGCGATCCTCGGGTCGAGAGCAGGCCGGCCACGGCAGGCTGGCAGTGGCAGGGGCCATGCGCGCCTGCCTGCCGGTTCCGCGCCACTGGCCGTCCTTAAAGCCGGGGGAGACAGAGAGAAATCGGGGAGAACCGAGGGAGAGCGAGAGCGAGAACAGAGAGAGTGAGATTGAGATCGGAGAGGCTTTCGTCGACGACCGCCGCGCCTCAAGCCGCGGCCGACAACCCCTTTTACGGTAGGTCTTGCCCCGAGTTATCATTGGGTCTCGGTTTGTTTTGACTCGGGGTCGATTTTCGCAAGGATTTCAGCTTGCCGGCGTGCGAGGCGACCGGATGAAGTCTGATCTACCACGACTCGCCCTCATTCGTCGCCGTCGAGCCGGATAGGGAGCGCCGCAACAGTCACCCCCTTCCCCTGTTGTTTCTTATTGTTCCCCTGTTTTCCGGCTCACTGGCCGGAGCTCACGCGGCCGCCCGGCCCGCGCGAGTTCCGACCTGTGACGCCTCGTGCATAATATTTCCTGTCTATGGTTCGTTGTGTGCGATTTTCCGATGCATTTGAGCCTCGACCGAGCCTAGGATCTCTCATTTTCGCAGCGCACGCCACCTGTTTGTCAAAATATCCTAAGTGTTGTCTGCTGTATTTGGCTGGTAGAGGAGAGTCGAGCAAGGGCTCGGCCGCACGACCGAAAACCCCGGCCGCGAAGGCTGGGGCTCGGAGGGGCCGGCGCTCCGGCAGGCCGACGAAGACGAGCCACGTCGGGCGGTGGCAACGGATGCGGCGTCGAGCGGCGGCCATGGAAGGCGAGGCTCTGGGCGCGGGGTGGCGGCCGCGAGCCGGGTCGGGTGAACCGAGTAGGGTTTCCAGCGAGTCAGGTCGGCGACTCACGTCCGGGTCGGGTCGCGGGTCTGACCGGATAGGGTTTTGTTTAGTGTGTGGGCTTTAGTGTTTTATTAGGTCTTGGGCCTTTCGCGGATGGACCGAAATTGGGATTTGGGCTGAAGTGTTGTTTAGGTTTTTATTTATAGTGGGCTGGGCTTTTGTTCTTTTTAAAAAAAAATTCGGGCTAGGCCCCTTTTTCTTTCTTTATTTATTTTATTTGCCAGACCGGGCTCAATAAATGAACCCGGTCCGATCGTGGACCTGGGCCGGTGCACCCGGGTCAGTCCCGATCCAGGCCGGATGTGGAGATCCGACCCGGATCCAATTTTTATATTATTTTTATATAATTTATTATTTTAATATTAAAAAAATTAAAAAAAATTCGAAAATCAAAAATTAGAAATTGGGTTTTAAAATCGTTTTTCTCTCCCTTTTTGTGTGATTAGCTTATGTTTGATTGCACCTCGTTTGATTCGCACACTTTGAATTGCGCGTTTAATTTAATCTCGCATGTGGTCAACTATGCATGTTAGGTTTAGGTATTAATTGTTGCTTCCCTTAGCTTAGTTAGGAATGGAATTTTGAGGCTTCCGATTAGTGTGAACACGTTAGTTGGTGAATTGAACAAGATTAGGTACCGAAGGAGCACTAATTAGTCAATTAGTGTAATCAAGTTCCCGTACCTATAGAGTCTCTGGTTCGTAGAAGTGAAGCATTTTCTCCCGTGCTTTACTTGGGTGTCTAATCGACCCACCAAAAACTGATTAGTGGCGACTCCTAGATGAAATTGATTTGCATGTTAACAACTTAAACTTAAGTCGCAAATTGGTATGGGCTTGGGAGAGCTCAAGCTAGGTTTAACTTAGTAATCCATTAGCCAAACCCCTTAGACGGCGGGGCCGGTTCGGGGAGGTCGCGACAATCGTTGAGCCTAGTTGTGAGGGCTCTTAACCACATGGATAGTTTAATATGCTCATCAACGCCTGACCTGAGATGTGGATCATCCAAGGCATATTAGCATATCGTACTTCTCCTATTTGAACCAGGTTTGAAACCAAACCTCTCCTTAGGAGGATAGATGGGGCGATTTAGGCGAGATCCAATTTAGATCCAACTTTCTATTCACTCGTGAGATCCGAGTGTCAATTCAGTCCTAAATTTTTCAATTTTTCTAACGTAATCCTAAACCTTTTGCGCAAAATTCCAATATATCCATTCCAACCAATTGCCACCGGAAATAACTAATGTGAATCCACAAGTTGTCCATGTCAGCAGGCCACGTTAGACAATTGGCAACGACTAGACGGCCATCTCAGCAACTTTCATGGGCAATTGGCCGGAAAATTGACTGGAATGACTAAACTGAAATTTCGCACAAAAGTTTTATTACTACATTTGTATAATTGAAAAGTTTAGAACTTAATTGACATATATATAATATGTTTATAACTAATTAGGTAATTATCCCATATACCGCATCGCTCCCTTGTAAGTTAAGTTTCAAATATGGATATAAAGAACGATAATTAAGATTGAATTATCAATAGTTCAAACTTTTCTATACGTTATAATTGGTGCATCAAAAAGGGTGATGTCATACATAATCTATATACTTGTAATGACTCATTTTGTTCCATGTGGACCAAACTCTCTAAAGGAGTACTTTGAATAACCACATAAAGTGGTGGCCATTTGAGAGTCGACATTGAATTATAAATCACTCGATATGGCCTTTTTCCCAATCGATATGGAATTTAGGATATCACAAACTCTCTCACTTAAAGAACTGTTATCGTCTATGAGAACGCCGGTGTTGGTCTGTATCACCTAAAGATACTCCCTTAATTCGACGTGTAGTCTAGTCTATGCATGGTTCCTCCGCCACCCTAGAAGCCTGCCAGAAGTAGCCTTGTTTGGACCCCCCTCACTCCTGCCATCGCTCCTCGCCTTTGTCAGATCGAATATGGGCTTATTCCATCCATTCACCACACATCTATAAGAGGGAGACCTGCTTTGGTACTATATGTAAGACTCAGCCCGTTTTATGTGTGGACCGAACCCCCCGATAATAGTGATTACTTTTAAAAAGTATTCACTGTCAGTCTTCCGGTTACAAAGCTCTACCAGAGTGGTAAGGTGCACGTCGAAACAGTAGCTGGACAATCGGAGCAAACGTGCCACATTAAATTTTATTGGCTCACTTGGCGCCTATGTGACTAATATGGTGCCAAACAGGCTGACAGCAGCGTACGTGCGCCCAAGTGTGTGTGTGTGTGTCTGCGTGTGCGTGGGTGCGTGAGATGGCGATGGCTGTGTTGCGGTCGACGGTCGACCAGACAGGATCCATCTCGCGTCGCTTATCTCTTCCGAGATAGCTGCGATCACCTCACGGTGGTCATCCTCTCAGATCTAGGATCTGAGCCTCCTTTCCATTAAATTAGGGAATTAAGAAGGTACGGAGTTTGGAAAGTTTTCCAAAGAACCGATGAAACTAGTGAACAAGAGCACCTCCAAAAGAAATCATGCCACATAAAAACAAACGTTGCTATGAATATAATGGATGTCACAGAATTTTCCAAAGCTTCATGATCTTAGAGATATGAGTCGGAAACTGTCTAACTGGTAGCAAAGAAAAGAACGTTTCATGACACAAACTATTGCAAGATATACTTTGACAATTTTTTCTCGATGAGGTCTTCAAACCAACGGAAATTTTTGGAAAGATCATGTTGTTCATATTTGCAAATTGAAATTTCATGTGTCTATTGGTATAAATTTTTCTGATCCATTGGTAATTGCATAAGAGGATGATCCTCAACACCGATAGATCTGATGCAATGTTCCTCGTCAAGCTCTCATGGGTTGCTGATGCATTGGAGGCATCATAGCAACCTGATACTGCACATTCTGCATTTGCGCGGCATTTCCCTGCCAACCTATGCAAGTAACAAGAACAAGCATCAGTAATTTCTCGCCGAAAGCAGAGAAGAAAAGATTTTTCTTTGTTGGTGACGGTATTTGAGGCCGAATTTAAACCATAGGGACGATATTGTTGTGTCATATATGAATAACATGGCTTGTTAAGTGCTTGTTTGCAGCTCAAATAGCAATAGTCGACATCAATTTTACCTATGGAAGGGTCAAGTCCTCTGTTCTTAAGCTCTCTGTATTCCTGAGATAGAGCGCAGCACTCGCAGAAGAAGTGAGTGATCCAGTCAGGAGCAGGAGACTCGATAAGATTGAATCGGTTCCAGAGTTTAGTTCGGTAAGTGCAAGACAACAGGCATGGGCAACCGATGAGAAACTGGATCCCGCCATACAGTAGCCCGCTCGTGCCACACGCTGCCCATCAAACAGCATGTTCAAATGCATAAATCCGACGAGACCCATTCTTCTCAAATGCTAAAGCACATGAAATATCTCGTTCCAATTACTCTTTCCTTTAAAACTTTAAAAGGATATTGAATTTTCTAATCACTGTTATCATCTACACTAGTACGATAAAGGATTCGAAAGTCAGTAAAGGCATTGCCACTAACATGTGCTCCCTCGGTCAACAATCTCCGCTATCTGGCCGAACGTTATGCAGGGGAAGCAACAGGCCACGACCGCTGCAAACACGCAAGAAATACTTAGAAATTTTCCATTTGTTACTCGTCCAATTTATCATAAACTTTCCCGGGAAAAGCAAAAGGCGACGTACCATTCAAAGGGTCATCCATGCAGTCAAACAACCCCGTTGTCCAAGGAGAAGGTGGAGCAGCTGGTGGCAATTGAACTATCATCCCTTGAGGCATAGGAGGCACGTTATGCAGAGGAAATGGCACTTGAGTATAGTTTACACCAGCAGTGTGGAAGGGTTGAGCTGGAGCATTTGTCGGCCTTGTAATAAAGCCCTGTACAGGATGCAACGGCTGGAAACCGGCTTGAATTTGAGAGCTCACGGGGATCAGTTGCCCCGAGTATGGAGTCAGCTGAGCCCCAAAACTTTGGTTCGCTTGTGGAATTTGTCCAGGACCAGCCAGATTCTGTGGATTAGATCGCGGCATCGAGTAAAGTGGCATCATCTGTGGATTTCTGGGCGAGTATTGTACAGCCTGCATCGGATCAATCGGACTGGTTTGTATATTCTGCTGGAGCTGAAACTGTTGTTGAGTCGAAGGATCGCTCGCCTCCTCCGGCTGCATTTGTTGATGGACTGAACTGAAAGGAGCAAATGTTTCGGTTGAGGGACGTCCCATCTTTTCTCGATCCTGAGGATGCACGGCAAATTTTTTTGGATGAGCTGAAGATTAGCAAACTTCTCAGATGGTTTTCATACAACTAAGTGAAACCCACCTCCAGTCCCAAAGATTAAGACATAAATGGATCTTTCCTCGCTTAGCGTGGCTGGTGTAACCACAATCTATATAAAATCTGTTTTCAAACAAAAGGTGCCAAGCAGAACATTACAAAGGCTTCGTTAACTTCTGAGCAAATGAATGACAATTTGTTACTCCAAGCAGTACACTACAAAGGCTTGGTTAACTTCTGCGAAAATGAATGACAAGATGTTGCTAACATATTAAACAGTTATTTTCTTTCCTCCAGTTCTTTGGCTGATTTATTACATGAAATCTGTCGAGAACGGTAGAAACTAGACAGGACATGCCAGTAGTTTTCGGTCTTTACGACGTGCCGTTCCAAGACCGGAAGATTAAAGTAGCTCCGAAGCTAGAGGTTTTCACAACATTCATTCAAATGGTGTATTAGTACAGCCAATATGCGCTCATCGGAGACTTTCACGTCTTGTTTATTGACAAGGAAGTCTCTTCTCGGTCACAGAAAGAGGAAGCATAGGCTCGGTTCTGGCTTTCATGTCTAAGGCACTAGATTACGTGCTCCATGTAGGTCAAACCTTTCTTTGGTCTTTGACAATCATATGTATGCATCATGTGCCTGAGTTTTCAAAGAGAACATGTTCGAGATGTTGCTCATCATTACCAGTTTCTCAGTTACACAAGATGGAAGGGAATTTTGGCTATGACATTGCGAGGAACAGAAAAGCTTGTTTAGAACCGCAGTAAATCTCACCGGGGGAGGGCACAACACCCTGTATCGTGCTAAACAAATGTCCAAACTAGGATAGACCGACGCGCCGGACTGGTCACGGCAAGGCCTACATGGCCTGTCCCGGGCAGGGCGGAGCCGTTAGCGAAGAGGGACTTGATCGTTTCCTTTATTGAGAATTTATTAGATTTAATTCAAAAATAGAAAATAGAAACCGGACCTGGACCCGAACCCAGACATAACTTGCCTCGGCCCGATACAGACCAGACACGGCCGTGGGCAATTCCTAGTCAAAATGTTGGGTGAAGTGCATATTTTAGTCCTTAACTTTCAGCAGTTATGCGATTTGGTCCTCTAATTTTTATTTCATTAAATCAAGTTCTCTCTTTCTAGAATTGTGCAATCGAGTTTTATTTTGTGCAATCAAGTCCTTTGACTTTTTGGATTTGTGATGCTAATTTGCTTCCAAATGAGCAGAAAACAAACAGTTTAAACAAGAATAAAGAATCGTAATTTGACAGCCCTAGTTACAGCGAGTAAACAATACACTTGATTGCAAAAATCAAAAAAGTTAAGAGGGCTTAATTGCACAAAATAAAAAATAGAACATCAAATCGCACAAATGCGTAAACTTAGAGAGCTAAATCTGTACTTAAACCTCCAAATGTTTAGAGACTCGTTTTTCAGATTCCATCGACATCATTACAGTCCAATTTCTTTCGAATTTATCTTTAAGGGATATGACTGTCTGAAAACTGCAAGCACGCCGAAGAATCAGCTGCAGAAGCGTCTTCATTAGCCTGTAAGAGGACATTAATGCCCTCATACACCCAAGTTTGCAATTTGCAAAGGATTTCAGTTTCCAATTAGCCTCGAGATGGATTCATGGAGATGAAAGCTCAAACTTTGTGCATTAAATTAAAGCTCTTTGATTGCCCTGAATCTAAAACAGTGGAGTATCTTCTACCAAATATTTACACAATCATGCAGATTTATCAATGATTATTTAGCCAAAAATCGCTACATAGCTCTACGCAGTACATCATTCAGTGAACGGTAGATCCTGTTCTGTGCAGCAGCAACTCAGCCTCAAAAGTAATGGAAGCAAAGCGGGGAAGGACAAAAGAAAACACAAGTCCTCACGATACAAAGTACGAATTTGGGGCAATAATTATTTTCAGGTTTCACCTGATTAAAGTTTGAGGCTAAAGCTGGTTTGCACATGCTCTCTCTGTTCCATGGGTCAGGTGAGCTGCAACGGGATGCTCTACTTCGCCAAAGTCTGGACTACATATTGCTGTGAAAATCTTCCAATGGAAACCCAAAAGTTCATCTGTAGATGGCATGAACATACAACTTCTTGTTCCCATATACACGAGCAGACTGAAGGCAAAATCTGTGGGTACACTTAAGGTTTGGCTGGGCCTTTCCCTTCTTGGTTTTGTGCATACTCTCTTTTCATCTCTTCCAAGACAGCATCATTTGTGCTGCCAAAGAGCCCACAGAGAAGTGTCAGATATTGGGGGAATCCCCGTTTTTAACATTAACACGTATTCCAGCACAGATTAAGCCATTAAAGATGTTTGATTGAATTTCAGTGGGCAGCAACTGCCAGAAGAATTCCCTCTGGGGCAGTCTTGTGTCCTCATCTAATATTGAAAGGACCTGAAGAGAAACTCGACAATTTTATCTTCCAACTCTAAGGTCACTTCATGCTGTTACTTTTGTACTATTGTCAATGAATTTAGCATCAAGTTCTCCTCGACTTCTCAGCACTTTAATAAAATAAGCGATGTAAGTGATGTCACTCCAATTGACTCATCTTCATTAAACTCTACATTGACCTGGTGATGTAGATCTCGTGTACTGTTCCAAAGTAAGTTCAGTATCTAGAATAGTAAAATCAAACCTTGGATACTTCTCTTGTTTTGATGAATATGAGTATATTTCTAATTTACATCTCACATTGCATTAGGAAGAAAGCTTTCTCCAGCATGTGAGATGCCTCTTCACCTATGCATGATGCATACTGCATCCCACGACTCTACCACATAAGTAAGATACACTCTAGAGAAAAGTACTATTCAAGGAAATCATATTAGTACCACCATTCTTCTCCCATTCATACTATCATTGCCACAATAGGATAGAAAGGACCAGGACCTCACAATACCACATTCCAAACAAGGGCAACCCTTACTCCCACTAGTGTTTAAACAGCATATTACAGACAACTTACACGATTTCGAACCCCTCGCATCAAACCAAAGCAGTGACTCCATGATATGCCCAAGTTCCTCTTATTCCAACCCCATTTTCAGTTGAACACGAATAAATCGTAAAATATCGAAAGGGGGTTAGTGTTAGTAACTGGTATATCCTAAGTAGTCAACATACCCGAGTAGTAAATAGTAAATGGCCGAATTAATTCTCATTCCTGACACATAAAACCACCATCATCAAATCAAACCTTGCTAAACGACCCCCAAAAAGTTATGTGAACCACGTCCGGTACCAAGCCCCAACGACGAAACAGAAAGAGTTTCTTCAAGAAAGCTTACTAGTGATGAAGGCAATCGTTCAATTCTTTCGCTTGGTTGCGGCACTGCCAGACCACTGAGAAGGTTCTTCCGGTGGCGCACTCCGCATACCTCGAAGCATAATAATCGCATTCTTTCAGAGCCTTCTGCTTCATCTTGCTGCGTAAGGCTGGAAACAAGAGGAGCCACGCAAAGCGCTTAGCCAGCCGAAAAAATTCGAAAACATATGCAAATACACAAGACACATGTAGAACCATGTAGAGCTTAATTTTGTCTACAGCATCTCCCTCTTTTCCTTATTGATCTATTCGATCAAAAAAAACAAAACTGAAAGCAAACAAAAGCACTCAGCAGGACCAATCTACAGCTAAAAGCACTCGAAAAGAACAGCAAAACTGCCTGCCTAAAACCATGCTTTGGCTTTGCTATCAGAAGCGAGTACCAGCGACCCAATTAAGCTCAATGACCGCCGTTACCATTCAAACCTCGAGACGCGCGACACGACAATGTCGGGTCAGAGAACCCTCATCCATGGGCTTGTTGGGGTTCAAGAAAATCATCTCTACCGCAAGCAAACAATGAGAAATCTTTAACGAACGAGAGCGGGATCAAGAGAAGAAACCTTCCTCGACTTTCTTCTTGACGTGGTTTTCGCGCGCCTCCTGAACGTAACCCATTTGGAGGAACGGGAAGGTCTCCTCGAAATCGAAGGAGGAGGAAAGGTCTCTCTGCTTTTAGAACTTCGCCATGGGAGGTTAAAGAAGCAAAAACTGCGAGGTTGAGTGGGTTTGCGGCCTCGCAGTCGCAGGTCAACAAAGGGCTCTTTCCTACTCTTCTTCGACGCCGTCGTTTCGCATGCTAATTTAACTATGGGGCTAATTCCGAAAAAAACACACCAACTCAATTCTTGCCCAAATTTTTTTTGTCTTGATAAAAAAACACTAATTTTTACTCAAATCCCAAATCTGGCCCCCATGATATGAAATTTTCAAATTGCTCGAACCAGATTTTGGATATTAGTGAAAATTGATATTTTTTATAAGATAAAAAAAAGTTCGAGCCAGAATTGTCACTCAAGTAAAGCTGGTGCTTGTTTTTGGAATTATACCCTTAACTTTGGGACATTTGTTAAACATTATTAATAATTGGATTCCCAAAAAAAAATTGATTGCATTAGAAATTTTAATTTATCTTCAATTAATTACTCAACACACATTCTAAATGATTAATACATAATAAAAGGCTCTTTCAAAATTAGCAATTGCCAGATAAATTAAGGCAGGAATTGAGATCCCGACACATCAAATGCGAAAAGTCTGTATAGACGTCTGACGAAATGTTGAAACCGGCTCCCCCCGAAAAAACCAGATGTTGAAAATACTTTCACGAGAATCGGTTGAGCCAAGACGGCCAAAGCATTATTTGTTAGAAGTTTTTGACCTGATCATGCGCCCGGCAGCTCACGGACTTACTCGGGCTCAAGCCGAACGGGCACGAAGGATAATGTTGGGCTGACTTCGATAAGGCCATATGTTAGGAAGTCTAATGGCCTTAACCCAAAATTGGTAAGATGGGCGAATTAGGCCCAATCTCAGAGCCCCGAACAGCTCAATTTGATCACATCTATTATTATCAAACATACTCAAACGCCACTTGAAAAGGAATCGTAGCTCTTCAAGCTAAAAAATAAAACCATTTCAAATAGGAGCAACTTCCCATAGAAATATTTGAAGTGCAAAAAATTTCTTTTACAAAACGGAAATAAAGGTTTTTTTTTTCCCAACTTTTGGCTCTGTAGATAAATAGCATTCGATGGGAATGAAACTTTCTTAATGAAGATCGCTACTTAGACATGATGCGGTTAAAATACACATGTATCCTAGAAGCCCATTATACGTATACCCTCTTTTGATTGGTAGCTTATGATTTAGATTAAAAGTTGTTCAAAATGCGATCAAAGATACGATGCACATCTTCAGATACGGTTTTCATCGATTTTCGTATACACTTAATCGTAGGGGTGATCAATTCCTGGTCCTGTCTGATTCTGAGATGGAATCGGGAACCAAACTGGGAGGACCGGTTCCCAATTGGGAACCGGTCACTTTTTTTTTCCTCATTAGTTCATTCATTACACTATAAAATTTTTAGGAGAAAGTAACATTAAAGTTTCAAAGTGGGGGATTAATCTTTGGAACATAACCTCATACTAATCCCCCAAATGAATTCTTCTTTTGCTGCCTATCCTATTTAGGTTTTCAACAACATTGTCTATACAACTAAATTTAAAAAAAAAGCATATATAGTGGGTCCGATCCAATCGGTTCGGTTTTTTTTTTGAACCAATCAGGAACCGAACCGACACTCCTGGAAACCGGACCCAATCGGCCAGTTTGGTCTAGTCCGGTCCGAGCCGGGCGGTTTCCAATTCGGGCGGTCCATTTTGCATATCCCTACTTAGTTAAAACCGAGAAAGCATTCAATTACACAATTTAAAATAAATCAAAAAATTTAACAGCACAAGAAATAATCAGAGGGCCAATTCCCCCACAACAGCCAAGTTAGTTCAAGGGAAACTTCCTAAAGTGTAACGTTACTTTAAGCTCCGTTCATTTGGCGGAAAATATTCTCCCGAAAAATATTTTTCGGGTTTTCCGGTGTTCGGGGGGCGGAAAACGTTTTCCGTGGGAAAATATTTTCCTTCCCCCCCTCACAAAATAGCCTAAGTCTACGGAAAATGACTTCCGCTTCTTTAAAAGCGGAAATCATTTTCCGAGCTTCTTCTTCTTCTTCACTAAGGTCGCCGGCCGCCGCCGCCGCCGGCGCCGCCGCCGCCGCTGCCGCCGCCGCGCCGCCGCGCGCCGCGGCCGCCGCCGCCGCGGCCGCCGCCCGCCGCCGCCGCTGCCGCCCCGGCCGGCCGCACGCCGCCCGCCGCCGGCCGCCGCCGCCGCTGCGCCGCCCGGCCTGGCCGGCCGCCGCCGCCGGTCGCCGGCCGCCGCCGCCTTAACCGCTGCCGGTCGTCGTGCCCGCGCCATTGCACTGGCCGGCCCGAAAAATATTTTCCGAAACTTTTTCATATTGGTCGCTGAGCACCGGAAAATTATGTTCCGAGTAAACATTTTCCAGGAAAATGACTTCCGGAAAAATATTTTCCAAAAGGAGAATATTTTCCGCCAAACGAACGGAGCCTTAAAGTATCATCAATTATCAACGGTAAATCTCAACTGCCGAGTGATGATAATGATGCGCCGTTACGTCCATCCTACATTTGAAATTTCTAAAAGTGGGGAGATGGTTAATTTTTTTCTTTCCTTTCCATTTGTTTCTCTTGCTAAGGGGAGGGGGGTTATCATTATTTGTTCTTGGGCGAAAGAGTAAAAATTGGGTGGCTTTTTGGGGCGTGCGTTCCTCCCTCTCGACGGTCAAAGCCCAGCGCAGCGAGTTCAAAGCGGCGCCTCCAACCTTCTCCGCCGCCCGCACAACGGTAAGTCCGTCACCCCACCCCATCTGTCGCCTCCCCATTGGACCTTTTCTCTCCCCCATTTTTCACCTCCCCCCCTTCTCCCCGTATAAATAGAACCCCTCCTCCCCTACCACCACCACCACCACCACCACCTTGCCCACGTCCCCTCCGCTTCTGCTGCTTTACTTCTCTCTCCTTCTCTCGCACGACCTCCGAACGAAAGCCCCCCAATCATTCGCGTCTTCGCAGGTATGCGCTGTTCCTCGTACTGACTTGTTCTACGTCGATTTTGAGCTTCTGGGTCCTTTTCTTTTTCTGGGTTTTGGGGGGGGGGGGGGGGGGTGTTTGGGCTGCGATTGATCTCTATGTAGCGTCGCTCGTGTCGAGATCTGCTGTTGTTGTGCGTTCTTGATCCGTCGGTTTGGTGCCCTTTTTGTGGGCTTTTTCTGTTGACTCGATTCTTGGTCTGAAGTTCTCGGAATTCTTGGCGTGGGCGAGTTTCGCGGGTTTCGAAATTAGAGGGAGGATTCTTGTTCTGATCTGTTGGTTGGCCCGCCCGGAAGCCCTAGCGGATACCCTGTTGATTGGAATATGTTGGAAATCTGGTTTTTGGTAGCAATTGATGGGGTTTTGAATTCCTGGAATGAGTTTATCGGGGCTTGAAAGGCGTCAGAAATGAAGAGCATCTGGAATGCGAATGAGTGGAGTCGCTTTTGCTTATTTTTTATTTCTTAAACGAGTCGAGTGCGGATTCGATCTGTTTGCTTGGTGGGATATAATCTTGGGGAAGAGAAAAAAATCAGAAAAAGCAGAACATGGGTTAAAATTGTTTATGATTTAAAAGAAAACTTCCTGATATCTAGCTGTTGAGTGCTAACGAGGGGAAAGAAGAAGGCTCCTAGATGGAGAGTGGTGCTCGTAGCATTATGTAGCCCGATGATTGGTGATTGATATATCGAGTATATGCTATATTATCAATCTCTTAGAGAGATTATAAGCTCTAGAGATCTTGAGTTATGGTATTTTCTGAAACTTCCCATTTTGAGATTATTTTTTTGTCTGATACCTAATTCGTTCGATAACTCCTTTCTTACACTGTCCGTTGGTCTTATTGCGTTTGTGTTCCCTGATGACGTTGGTATAAATGATCCTTTGTCGTGTTTGGTTGGAGAAGTAATCCCTGAATCACTGGATGGTCTCTTTGTGACCCCGAGTTTACATTTAAAATCTTATCAACACACTCAGAGATGGTGTTTGCTTATTCCGCCTTGCAGCTTTTGTGATTTGATCAGCATATTGAAGATGGCGGCAGCTGATGCTTCACGAGAGGAAAATGTGTACATGGCCAAGTTGGCTGAACAGGCCGAGCGTTATGAGGAAATGGTGGAATTTATGGAGAAAGTTGCCAAGACTGTTGATGTCGAGGAGCTTACTGTTGAGGAACGTAACCTCCTCTCCGTGGCGTACAAGAATGTGATCGGTGCCAGGAGGGCTTCATGGAGGATCATCTCTTCCATTGAGCAGAAGGAAGAGAGCAGGGGAAATGAGGACAATGTTGTGATTATCAAGGAGTATAGGGGGAAGATTGAGACTGAGCTCAGCAAGATCTGTGATGGCATTCTCAGTCTCCTTGAGTCGCATCTCATTCCATCAGCCTCATCTGCTGAGTCAAAGGTGTTCTATCTGAAGATGAAGGGTGATTACCACAGGTACTTGGCTGAGTTTAAGGCGGGAACTGAGAGGAAGGAGGCTGCTGAGAGCACCTTGTTGGCTTATAAATCTGCTCAGGTGGCTTTTTATTTTCAACTTGTCTCATTAAATAATAATTGTTTCTATTTGCTCCCATTGGCATTTGGTTGTGTTTAATACTTGCATAATAATAAGAAAACTGGTTGTCATTTGCTTGATGTAGGATATTGCTTTGGCTGAGCTGGCTCCGACTCACCCTATCAGGCTTGGACTTGCTCTTAACTTCTCTGTGTTTTATTATGAAATTCTCAACTCACCCGATCGTGCCTGCAGTCTGGCTAAAATGGTAACTTTTGTTGAGTTCTTCTGAACTTTGTTTAAGCAGTTCATTACAAGAGTAACCATTTGAACCAGCGTGGAATGAGATATAGGTGGTATTATGAGATAGAGTTGATGTCACAACAGAAATACTTCTGCTCATTTGAAGTATAAGTTTGTATTTGATGTTTATTCCACTCCATTTTGGACCTCAATCCTTCCATTTCAATCGTCATCCTTTCCTTTCCTCAAAATGCATTAATTGTTTGGCAGGCATTCGATGAGGCTATCTCCGAGCTAGATACATTGGGCGAGGAATCATACAAGGACAGCACATTGATTATGCAACTTCTCCGAGATAACCTAACACTCTGGACTTCTGATGTCACGGTCTGAGTCTCTCTCTCTCTTAAGCACAAACATGCATATGTGAACACATATCCATCATGCACACCTTTACAATACTTGTCCATTCACAGTGCACTATCTCATACTTTACATGGGACTACAAGAATGTAATTTCTCAGGTGAGGCATTTTTTACTCACTCTCACACACACACTCCCACACACACAATGGCCACCTTTTGCATGGTGCTGTGGTTGGGTCAAGTTCACTAATTTGGCACAGTGGCAATTATACTAATGTCTCAATTAGGCTACGTATTACCGTAGCCTGGTAATGATTTGTTATGTTTCCTATTTCAACTATTTTGTCCACGGTTTCAGGATGAAGCTGGAGATGAGATCAAGGAATCTTCGAAACGGGAGTCTGGTGAGGGGCAACCACCGCAGTGATGAGCTCCATTCATGAAGATGGCTTCTCTGTACTTGGAGACTGTGAACTCTTATGTAGACAGTGCTTTGTTATAACATCATTTTGTAATCAACGCCATGATCTTAGTACTTGCACTACTTTTAGGTGAAAGTATTATGGGATTGTGAACTTTTCTCTGGTTATTTTATGGGAAGAGATTGACTTGATGCAGTGCTCTGTTTTGTCTCATGGTAGCGATGCCAGTGGTTTTCTTATTGTGAAGTGAATATTTCTGTAGACACACACTATTGATAGATAGTTCACAAACTGATTGTCATAGATAGATGTTGAGTGCTTAAATCGGTTCGCCGGTTTATGTCGAATGCAATCACTGCTTGGATAGAGATGGTGTCTCTAGTATAACTCTTCACCAAAGTTCATAAATCTATTGCTTGTTTGCAATCATGAACAATAGTCACAAAAACATTTCAAGCGTAGTATCTAATTGTCCTTTCATTTTGTGCCTGTTGCTGTTGGTGCTTCTGGTAATCTTTTGAAGTCTCAAGAGTTGGAAGAGGCCATATTGGGTTGGCATCTAGGGCAAGTTGTCCTAATGGGTCGTGTGTAATTTTACCAATTCTCTCTCCATTTGGAATTATCCCTTTTTGGCTTCATTAAAGAAATTGAAGTCTCAATAATCTGGACCATAAGTGCAATCGAGTGAATATTCTACCCTTCGCCAATGGAAAAACATAGATATCAAATCAATAATAATAATTTAACTAGCACTTCTTTCTTTGAGGACACAATAAGAATTCAATACTAATCTTCATCAGCGACATCAACGCTAGTCAAGACATTGATAAGTGAAAGGGTCAAAATATCTTAATCAAGGTCCTCGTTAAATACTAGTTATCTGGATTAATTGGATCTTCAGGATATTAATAGTGCATAGCACGAGAGCAATTAATATATTAGAGAGTAGTAAGAATTTTCTTAATTCGGTATTTAATTAGAGAATCTAAGTGTTTGCCGTGGTCATCCTTCCACCATCCACTACCACACTAGCCAGTGCGAACTTGTACCCGGATCCGATTCTCTGAAGATGACAACTAACAAGTGGGAAAGAGTATTATTATATCAATTTTAGCAACAAAAAAAAAAAGAGTACTATTATATCAATCGATGCATCTAGAAGTGCTTGTTTGTTTTCTATCTGTTTTCCCTAAAACTAATACAAAAATTAATACACATAAAATAAACTTTATACTAACAATTTTATGAAAAAAACATTACTTCCCAATGAAACTAAAACCATAAAATTAGCGGCATGTGATTTTGCATTTAATAAGCTTCTAGTGCGTATGATAAAGACGATCGTTTTTCCAAAAATCGTCGGAGTATTAACAAGTGTGCCGGTAATCTTTGGAAATTATGCATTCAATATTCAAATATTTTATTTCGCTTAAAGATATTCAGTGGTGAAAAAAATGCCGCACTAAAATTGAAAATTACACGCAGTATTATTGAAATTAGTGTTGTCAAAATTGTATGGAAAATCGAACCGAACGGTCAAATGGTACTTGATTGAACTGATCAAAGCCCGATTGAACTTTAAATAAATCGACTAGAACCCTTCTCCAAAGACGGACTTGGATGAGTCGGCCGGTCCTGTATGTTTTCAAAAACACCCGTTCAAAAGGAAGAATTGCATCATGGCCCTTGGGTTTTTGGATTACTACAATTTGACTCTTGCAATGCACACCCCCATATTTTATAGTTCATTTGAATGTGCCCTAAAAGTTTAAACCCGGTCCAATCATGTGCTCTCACACTATTACCTGACGAGATGGAGAGGTTGTGAAGGGTTATTCCCTCCTGCAAATTTGAAATAATTTCATCTTTTCCTACAATTTTAAAAATCGTTATGAAATGCCCCTTTGTGCTTCGAAATTTTTGCATTGTGCCTCATAATCTTTTGAAATTTGTTGTTGTTTTCCCCTTGCATACTTGTAAAATAACAATAATAAGGTTAATTGAAAAAAGGATAAGTGTACTGGAAGTTTTAAAACTTGTCACAAAAGTGCAATTGAGTTGTAAATCTTTTAAAAAGTGTAATCAAATCCTAAAACTTGTTAAGTGGGTCCAATCAAGTTTTAAACTTGTCAAGTTGATGCAGTCAAGTCCTAAAACTTGTTAGTATTTTCCGTCTGTCAAGTTGGACAGAATTAATGGAAGAACTTGATTGTACCAACTTGATAAGTTTTAGAACTTGATCGCATTTTTTAAAAGTTTTATAACTCAATCGTATTTTCGTGATAAATTTTAGGATTTTCAGTGCACTTATCCCAAAAAAATAATTGGCACCAGCAACAGTGATTGCTATTGCTGTCGGGATGGCCTCCCCATATCGCTTCCTCGCTCTCATCTACTTCGTTTGTTTTGTATTATTAACATTTCAACTTTTCCTATTTACTAAATATTTGTTTTGATTATACATTTTTTTTGCCGAAAGAACATTGCACCAATTTTTTTTTAAAAGATCAGGAGGCACATTACAAAACTAACCTCAGGGGAGCACACTACAAAATTTTTTAAACCTTAGGTTGAGGAGTTTAAAAATCTAGGTGGTCCCTCCTCAATGAGCACCCACTAGTCACGGAAGATAAGTGACAAAGTTACAACGAGAGTTTGGCCAAAGTCCAACACTAAAAAATATATTGAAATATATTTTAAAATGTCAGGATGGACATCGCAAAAAGTCGAAACAATGAGGAGCGAATTGCCATGATCCAAATATCTATATTGTAATTGGGTTCTGATTTGGAAACGAACACTCAAATAGAGATAATTAATACATAAGTCGAGGGAGCCAAGTTATTATAATTCAAAACACATACTGTACACCAATTCAAAAAAACCTATTGGGACGCTCTAAAGTGTTCCGAAAATTATACATAATCGATTCAACTAACCACTAAGGTTTGCCCCAGTAGCCACCCTTCCTACTTGGGAAGGGGGAAGGGGAGAATTCGATTCCCCACCTTCTTATGAGGGCATTTACTTTTAGATGTGGGTTTCAACTAGGCCCGATTATGATTTTTTGTATAACCTTTTGGCCAAAAAGCTCAAAAATCGAGAAGGACAAGTTATTACACAAATTTAAGGGTTAATGTCACGAAAAATTCTAAACCGATACACTCACAAATTTACTATAAACTAATTTTTTGACCACGAAAAATCCCAAACTAGTACACCCGCGACAAACTTATCCCAAAACTAATTTATTGATCACATAAAAACTCAAACTGGTATACTTGTGATAAATTTGCTCTCCGTTAAATTGGATTAATACCACGAAAAATTACAAACTGATACATCTATGACAAACTGAGGGTAAAACCGCAAACTAGTACACCGGTCAATTGCCACGTGTCATATAATTTAGCAATTTGACGGTAAAATTTAACGGAAACTAACAGAGGGTAAATTTGTCACGTTCGTGATAAATTTGTCATAAATATACCAATATGAGGTTTTTCGTGATAGAACTCCAAATTCAATACTCGTTTTTCGTGGTATAACTCCAAATTTAATACTCGTACGAAAATGATTTCGGACCAATGAATTCAGCGGGCTGTAACGGGGAATTCACATGAGATCCACAATTTCGATGATCCGAATTCATTTTAATATACACATATTCAACCCGTCCGGATAATTACTATTCCAAATCCAATCTTTTGACCCACGTTATGGAATCCTACTTAGAATTTTCTTGGCCATAGTGGAGGGCGACATAAAGTAACGTAAATCCCTCAAAGGAAAAAAAAGCAAGAAATCCCACTACCAAAAGATGATTTCAGTATAAAATCCCGGACGCTACAACTCTCGCTACTAGCCTACTATTACTACTACCACTGCACTATCTTCACGCCTATTCTCGAGCCTCCTGCTTCTCTTGGCGTCTTCTTTCGCACGCATCCCTCCTCTTTGGCTCCCCTCTCTCTGCAAGACCCATTTGCCTTGCCGTTCATGTCTGCCACCAGCGCTGTCATCGCTTGGTCCGCCCATCTCCGACCCTTTCTTGAATCTCCCTTCCTCTTCGCCTTCGCGTTGGAAAGAGCTTGTCTTTCGGCCTTCTGGGTCATCGAGACTCGACCGTTTTTGAACTTGGGTTTTTCTGTTTTTTCTTCAGGGGCTCAGGGGAAGATGGGCAGCTCGGGCTCGGGGACAACGAGGAGAAAGAGTGGGTCTGCGCCATCAAAGCTCTCGAGCCATACAAAGTCCGCTCCGTCGTCGCCGGGAGCCGAAACTCGCTCGCCATCTGCGAGGATGGCCAGGTCCTTCTGACGTTCTTTCTATTTTGTTTTGCCGTTGAAAAATCTGTGGCGATTAGTTTCTTGTTCTTTAGCTCTTGTCTTTATTCTCAGCTGACAATCTGTGAAAAACGCGACACCTCGATGCGACTCGGCGCCGAGAAAACGGGAAAAACGTGATTACTTGATGGGAGGGACTTAAAAAATTTTGACACGATCGCATCGTTTTGGCTTCTCCTGTTTATAATTTTTTTTTTGGGTTGAGTTATTTGTTGAGCAATTCTTGTTTGGCCAAGATTTTTGTAGGATAATCGCCTGACGTGTTCTTGTTTTTTGTTTTGTGTTTTTTTTTTGGATGTTAGTTGTTTACATGGGGTTGGAACCAGAGAGGGACTCTTGGGCATCCCCCAGAAACCAAGACTGAGAATACCCCAAGCCAGGTTAAAGCTCTTGCCAATGTCAAGATTGTTCAGGTAATGCACGTCTACCGTGAAAGCCGGCTTGGCCAATTTGATTCACATAAAATTGCTTTTCGAGTGGTTAAAGTCGCTCTTCTGGTTCCAATTTTTAGGCGGCTATTGGTGGGTGGCATTGTCTTGCTGTTGATGATCAAGGTCGTGCTTACGCTTGGGGTACGTTACTTAGCTCTATGTTCTTAGGCTCTTGGGTTGCACCATGCACAAAAATGTGGTTGTTCGACTAGAATCAAAATATGAACCATAGAAACTGCAAATGTTGGTATTTTGAACTTCAATCAATGAAAGGCTATATTTTGTAGGTGGGAATGAGTATGGACAGTGTGGTGAAGAACCTGGGAGGAAAGATGACACTGGGAAGCCCTTGAGAAGAGATATTGCGATTCCCCAACGCTGTGCTCCCAAACTCGTAGTTCGCCAGGTGGTTCACAAAACCTCGCAATCATGTTATGGTGAAATCCCCAATTTGCTAATACTTGTCTCTAGTAGCTGGGATTTTATATTTGTCAACTTCGCGCATTTAGTTCATGGTGATTTCTTGCTATCATGAATATTTGGGGTTATAAGAAGCTTGAACCCATATTTTGAATGAGCTAAACCATCTATGGTTTGATAGCTTGACCATTTCCTTTGA